ATACCCGTTCGGCGTCGGCGATCAGTGCGCCATCAACGGTGGCTTCAATCTCACCTGCAGTCTTGTCAACGGCACCGAAAGGCCTTTCAGTGGGCCGTTTGAGGTGACCAAGATCTCCGTGCCCGACTCAACCCTGTTCGGTTGGCCGGTTCATATCGTTGCTGGTTCGTAAAGAAGTACTGTTAGCTGATTTGTGTGAGAGAAAAATACTATTCCGGCTAGAAATTTACGATCGTTTATGATAAGCCATGGCCAAACAAAGTACAAGCATAGCTGAAGATGGGCATCACTTGGTGGCGCTATGATTATGGCGCGCGAACGGGGGGCGAAGGAAATTTCACAAACTCGGCATTCAGGTTCTCACAAGAGGATAACAAAATCTTTGTCATCGGCTGCAACACGGTTGCCTATATCACGACCGAATATGTAAGTTTCATTGAACTCTTTTTTCTTCCAAGAAAAACAGTATAGATAAATAAATAATCCTCTCTTTGTCCCTAAATAAATCAATTCCTAGAGTTGTCATAAATCAAAAAATTTCAACTTTGACTAAAATTACAGAAAAAAGCACAAATATTTGTGACACCAAATGTGTACGTTATAAAAACATTGTTTATAGTGTATCTACTAATATACTAATTTAGTGTCTTAAATCTTGACTTTCTTTTCTATTAATTATATTAAATTTAAAAAAGTTTAACTTCAGGCAACTCTAGGAATTGAGTTATTTAGGGACGGAGGAAGTATTTGTGTATACGCACATATACTTATAAATTTGTGTATACACACATATACTTATAAATAAATAGATACATATGTATACACACATATATACTTATTCCAATGAAACATATGCATATATATATCCCTAAAAACACCATCAAGAGACTATGGTAGAATGTTAAGATTGACAAAGTCACTGGAAAGATGCCTCACTATTGAGACACACATCGTCAACTGTCCTCAATTGAAGACTCAAACTTAATACGTGAACTGATTCCGTTCCACCACAAGGAGCCTACCTCATTAAGCTGCTCTCTCGATATAGATGTTTGTAAGTTTTTTTTTTAATTTAAGATAACATTTATAGATACAGTCATACAAATGCTTGCGCACGAACCACTACAAGCACATATGGACACTCATATGAGAACCCATAGATGAGTAGCCCACACGAGATATTTGACGTCGTTACATGATTCAACGTACTCACTCGCAATGATGTACCCTATGCTAGACAAATAGAGTGTCAAATTGGTATACAAGTCACAACCACCTTTGTTAGCCACAAATGTACAATATATACTTGGAAGTTACACACAGAACATGCCGGGTAAATAAAACAAGACGAACACAAGATGGTAGTTATATTTCCCTGAGGAGTCGGTGAAATGGAATCTATGTGTACAGTGTACTATCTTAATAATGTGTTATTACAAAAGGCAGAACGTTAAAGCAGATTTTTTATTTTAAAGCACTTTTTATGAAAAATATAAAAATATAGCTTGTATAAGTTAAATTCCAAAATTAATATATTTTTGTCTTATAGTAAAATGACTTTCAAAAATCGTTCTCAGGGAAAACGAATTTTATGAAATTGCAATCATTTATCGGAAAAATGATCTTACTTAAAGTATAATTTCTTTAATGATTGCTCTATTGGGAAATGCTTTTTTTAGATGATCTAAAAATTTAAGAAATTGTTTTCCTAGAAAATGACTTTTCTGAAAGTAGTTCTCACGAAGAAAGACATTTAGTTTTTGTGTTGCTTTTCCTTAATAATTTTGTTGATCTAAAACGAAGGATACGAGAAATCTAAAATTAATATAATTTTTAAATAGATCTTAAAATCAAGTATGACCCATTTTACTTATATCGTCTAGTGTCATAGGTTTTGCTTTTTTATAAATAAATATATTTTACTTTGTAGTTAAGTTGTTTAATCCCAAAAATACAAAAAATCCTATCTAAATTCATCGTCTTGAAATCAATACTTTTCCATTTAACCGTAGCATATGTGCTCAAGTGAAAATTCTTAACAAAGTGCATGCTTAAAATTATATTTGAATGTCTTTTGCATGCATTTTTTTCATAAAGTTTGGATTTCACTTGAGCACGTAAGCTAAGTAATTAATGAAAAAAATACTAATTCTGAACCATAAATTTAGATGAACTTTTTTATTTTGTGAAATACATTTTGGGTTAAACAGTTTAACCAAAAAGTCAAATTTAATATTTTCTATTTTGGGAAAAAAACATTTACAAATTTGCAAAACCTATGATGCCATGTAAAAGCAAAATAGTCCATGTTCAATTTTTAACATCTATTTAAAAATATTATACAACTTTTAGAGGTTTTTGGGTTCTTTTTTAGATCAAAAAAATTATTAAGGAAAGAAGTTTTAAATGTCGTTATTTGGGAGAATGACTTTTAGAAAGTCTTTATCTAGGAAAATTATTCCTATGATTTTCATTAAAAATCATTTATTTGGTAAAATCATTTTCCCATAGAATGATTTTCATTAAAAAATTCATATTTTGAAGCGGCGTGAACTTCTCTACTGCTACCTCCAAATGCTGACACATCCTCAAATAGGTTATTCTCCTCACTGGGACACAAGTGTCTGCCCGGATATACATAAAATCGTTTCTCACAGGCGGATAATTTCTGAAAGTTGTTCCACCACAAGATGGCAATGAATTGTTTTTTTAAGTTTAGCAAAAACAAGGTATATTTTGTCATTATCACGTTAATGGTTAGAAAATTTAGAAATAATAAGGGAGTAAACATACCATAACATTTCTTAAAGAGGGTGTCAAGTTTCAACTTGTTGGCCATCCAATTTTAAGATCTAGCATTGTAATTTCAGTGTAAACTAACTATAGCCAGATTTTAAACACTTGAATTTAATCACAAGATAGGTGGGAGAGGTCAGAGGTGTACAATGAGCCAACTGATTTTTTTTTGGAATTCATTGAAATAGATATACTTCTTGTTATTATTGACTTTTTGTGTTGTTTAAGATCTAACTTTAAACCGAGTTTAACACTCCAATAAAGAAATTCAGGTTCATTCAAAGTCAGCCAATTTGGACTTTGAAAAAAGTGCAATAGGTACAATTTTGAAACGAGATCGAACCTATCCTTTTGTCCAGTCTAGTGGGACCTTTTCCATGTGTGGATCCATATTATCCACTGTGGGTGCGGTCATATCGCCTAAACAAAAAAAATCAAAGATGAACCTTAAAAATTATTTCCACTAGTAATAAAATATCGCTTTCTCCTTATTTTGCTCTAGCTAGGGATGAAAACGGTATGGATATTTTCCGACAGTATTCGAGACTGAATTCGTTTAGAGGGGTTCAGATCTGTCCGTATATTCGACATCCGATACCGTATCCGTATTCGAATACTCAAATCGCATATTTATGATGTCGACATCCAATCATATTTTATCCGACATGGCTGACACTATCCGTATTCAAATTCGAATCCGATCATATATATATATATATATATAATAAATATAATATTAGTGATATCCATCCGTTTTTATCAATAGCTCTAGCTCTACTCCAGTTCCGAGGGACGGACCTGGGCCTGAGGCCTCTGGGACCTAGGCCCAAGTCGTGGCCCAGTAGTAACCTACCCCACAAATGTTAGGCCCAACGACAAGACAAGGGCATGGTAGCCAGGGAGCCGGCTCGGCTGGCCAGTCCCGAAGTCCCGATGACCGACCTCCCGTTCCCGTCCTCCGCCGGCGCGCCACCACCAGCCGCCACAATCACCGATCCGCGCCACCACCAGCCGCCGGAGCGGCGGAGCCGGCTTCCTCCACCCTCCCTTGTTCTGCCGTCGTCCGTCGACCGTGCGCCCCTTGCCCCCCTTCCGGGAAGCGGCGGCGTATCCGTGCACGACGGCAAGAGGCAGGCCACGGCCACCAGTCGCAGCCGGAGGCACAGGCGAAGGCGAGTGGGGACGGGGCCAGTCACGGGCACGTGACCGGCGGCTCGGCCGATTGGCGGGGCGTGGGGTAGCCGGCAGGGTGGCAGGCACGGGGGCACAACCAATCCCCAAATGGCGTTGCTCCCTTTGCCGCTCTGCGCGTGCAGGCCCCTGCTCCGGCGCCGGCTGCCTGCGGCGAGGCCGCCCGCCTCCGCGTCCAGGGGCGAAGCAAGGTATGAATCAGTAATGGTTGGGCATTGTTTCATTTCTTGCTAGCTGTTGGTGTCACTGGCTCCCTGCCATTAGTATTTTTTTTTTGGGCTGGGGATTAATTGGTAGAACTACCATACTTAATTTGGCACGATATCTATAGCCAACTCTTGTCTTTAGTTTCCTGTGCTAAACTAGTGGCAATACTATTAGCTTCCCTCAGCCTGGCTCGTTGCTAAACTGTATACTGTGTCAAAACCTTGCATTGAGATGCACATAACTCACTTCTCAAGATGCACATGACCTTGTTGCAATGTACTCCCTCTGTCCCAAAATTAGTGCACATCTCGCGCTTCGAGAAGTCAAACATGAAAATAGCTCCTATTTTCAAAAAGCTCGCCTCTGTTAATGGATTTTTGGAGGTGGTGTTGTCTCCCAAAATGAGATGTACGCCTCTGAAAATCGGTGGCTATTTTTAGAGATTGGCTTACTTTTTATCCGCCTCTGTTAATCAAACACACTGTCTCCCAAAATCATTTTTTTAGTAGTGAGTGACGATGATTAATAAGGTGAATATGAATTTTGATGGTATAAAGCAATACATACACACTGAGTTTTTCATACTAGCTCTGCCTGGTTTGTGGCTTCTCATGGAACTCCTGTATATTATATATTACTTATCAAATCACAAGGATTGATCACCTTCATTTCGTAGACTAGGTTTCTTTCAGTTTCCTTTTAATTACCAGCAGAAGACTACCAGGGCTAACGCGTGTCGTGCATTTCTGCTAATTGTGCAGTATAGCATAGGTTGCTTGCCTGAATGCTATGGTGAACCGAGAAACATGAGTTCATGCTCCCCTGGGTCTGGCTGCTGTGAGGCACATGTCCCAGCTGATATGGGGTATTGCAAATCTTACTTCAATCCAGACTACAACGACACCACTGCCTGCGGCTATACTGTAGTGATGGAAGCGAAGGCGTTTAGCTATAGCACAACATATAGGTCGTCCTCATCGTTCTGGTATGCAAACAACGGCACAGTTCCAGTTGTAATGGACTGGAGGATTACAAACGACACATGCGAGCGTGCTCAATTGAACGACCCCAGTTCATATGCATGTGTTAGCGACAATAGCGAATGTGTCAATACCACCAACGGGCCAGGCTACCGTTGCAAGTGCCTGGACGGGTATCAAGGCAATCCCTACGTCAGAGAAGGAGGATGCACAGGTTCGTTTTCTGTGCTCTCTCTTGAGAAATTAGCATGAAAATTCGATGCGACGAGGTGGTCTATATATATATGAAGTATTGTTATTCCCTTTCAGATATCGACGAATGCCAGAGTAATACTACGAATAATTGCGCGGCAAGAGGTGCGAAGACTTGCATAAATATACAGGGAGGCTATACATGTTTATGTCCACCGGGAAAAACAATGATGGATGACAGGTGCATAGCAAATCAGAAGTCCTCTTCTTGGGTGATACCAGTCGTAGGTAGGTTCCCCTACTCCCCTGCCCTGCAGCAAAGCACTCCCTTCCTGTTTGAGCTGTGCTCCAAACTGTCCAAGCATGCCCTTAACAATTTGTTTGTTATACTATTTCCTACAAACAGTTGTGATTTCATAGCCGCTGTCTATATATTCTTCTTCTTTAATTTTATAACAAAAAACATGCTAATCTATAAGTGTGGTGAATCTTGCATGCAGGTTCAAGTGTTGGACTAGTGGTCCTAGTCGTTACCATAACATGTGCATACTTGATCCTACAAAGGAGAAAGCTGCAGCACATCAAACAGAGATACTTCCAACAACACGGAGGTATGATGTTGTTTGAGGAGATTAAATCACAACAAGGTAGTAGTATTGCTTTCAAAATATTCTCTGAAGCAGAATTGCAAGAAGCCACCGACAAGTTCGATGAGAAACGAGTGCTGGGTCAGGGAGGACATGGAACTGTGTACAAGGGGCTTCTCAAAGGCAACGTGGAAGTGGCTGTAAAAAGATGTATGTCCATTGACGAGCAGCACAAGAAAGAATTCGGCAAGGAAATGCTAATCCTCTCTCAAATCAACCACAGGAACATCGTTAAGCTACTCGGCTGCTGCCTCGAAGTGCAGGTCCCCATGCTGGTATATGAGTTCGTCCCGAATGCACATTGTTCCAACTCATACATGGGAACCATGGCAGGCAGATTTCCTTGGCAACTCTCATACAGATCGCCCATCAGTCTGCTGAGGCGCTTGCCTACCTGCACTCATGGGCATCCCCACCAATCCTCCATGGAGATGTCAAGTCTTCCAACATCCTCATCGATTGTGATTACACCGCAAAAGTATCAGACTTCGGTGCTTCCATCCTGGCACCAACTGATGAATCGCAGTTTGTCACACTTGTTCAAGGAACTTGTGGGTACCTTGACCCGGAGTACATGCAGACATGCCATTTGACAGACAAGAGTGATGTGTATAGCTTTGGGGTTGTTCTCCTTGAGCTGCTCACACGCAAGAAGCCCTTTAACCTTGATGCACCTGAAGATGAGAAGAGCCTAGCATTGAGGTTTATTTCTGTGACAAAGGAGGGCAGGCTGGAGGAGATACTGGATGATCAACTCAAGAATGATGAAAACATGGAGTTTCTAGAAGAGATTGCCGAGTTAGCAAAGCAGTGCTTGGAGATATTTGGTGCCAATAGGCCGTCGATGAGGGAAGTCTCTGAAAGGCTTGATAGGTTGAGAAAGGTGATGCAACATCCATGGGAACAGCAGCAGAACCCTGAGGAGATGGAGTTGTTGCTTGGAGAGTCATCCTTGGCAAGCTCCGAGATTGTCAACACTGGAATTTTAAGCATCGAGAAGAAGGCTGCCAGGAATCTAGAATCAGGACGTTAATCACCAGGAATTACAAAAGGAAGGTGAGATTATTTTATTGATTACCTGCGCCTATAGCCTATGGTAAGCTAATGTCAAAGTTGGGTCACACTGACCCAGGGTCACTTTAGGCTATTTTTGTAATGTTAGAGATGTGTATTTTAATTTTAAAAACATAATAAAACAGTGGCTATTATTACCAATGGCGATTACAATAGTGTAAATTGATGGTCGGATGTCTCTAATTTTCTTTTTTTAAAAGAATCTATGTTTATATTTTCCTAGTGCGTCTTGTGGGGATAAATTAGTAACCATAAGATGGTATGATACCTATGTATGCTTTACTTTAACCAATAAGATAGTATGATTGATTTTATCTTGTGAAAAAAATTAATAAGCTGTTCTAAATTATTCCTAATTCACCACTTCCCCTCGGGGGACAAGGGCACCTGGATTCCCTAGACTAACAGTGTGACTACAGCTTCCCAGTTGTATGTCTCAGGAACAGCAGGCATCCATATGGATGGCAGCAGAACATACAGGTGATTGACCAGTCAGTGATGCATTGAAGCTACCATAGACAGACTGATAGCTTCTCCTGAAAACTGCATGTAATTGGACAGGAGCCGGGAAAAGGGACGAAATTAGATTACAATCAATGCCACAACCTGTGAATGTGATGGAACTCTCATGGAAGGCCATACCAAAGCATGGATCGTTGTTGGACCAGAACTTACATGAGTTCCATTGACATTGCTGTCAGCCTGTCACAGCTCAAAACATGCATCTTCAGACGAAGACCAGCACTTTCGTGTCTGAATATCTGATCTGATTGAGGCCCAGATGTTTGATTGCTGTGACTGCAACCAGCTTGCTGGAACACGGGCAGAACGCAATCGCGTATGGAGTCCGGAGGATCTGAGAATTGAGATGGCCCGTGGCCAGGCTATGCCAGGTCGTATCGACAGTTCTACCAAGCTTGTCCTGTTGGATTTCGGGCCTGTTTGGATGGCGCCCTTGTCTGAGAGAGCTCCTGTCTAGGCACATTGATCTAGTCCCAGCTGCTAGAAAATGAACGCTTAGATTGATGCCTGGCAAAGCAAGTCTGCCTGGAAGCTGGAAAAGCAATCCTAAAGGGCCCATGCATGGTCATGGAAGCTGCAGTTCAATCCTTCCCTTGACAAGAAATAAGGGCAGGCAGGCAGGTGTAGTAAGGCACAACGGAAGTTATTTCATAGCAAGAATGGATCATTGGATGTAATCCATAGCTTCTACAAATAGGGTACTTGCACTTTCTATTTGTCCTAACCAAAAAACTGACGTGAAATGCAGTCCAGCATATCGTGGTGATCCATTCCAATGCATCGCCATGGCTAAGACAAATTTAACTTAGGTGTTCTGCAGAATTTAGCAATCATGAGTGAAGGATTTGATTTGTTCTCTGAAACCAATGTTCAACTCACACATGCATGTAGCAACAAGTTTTCCGCTTGGCTGAATAGTGATCAAAAGTTTGGTTTCTTCTTCCTGGCTCTTCCTATCGTGTTCATTCAGTTATCTGCCCAGAAAAAGATAGAACTAGAAAAGATAAATAATGCCTTAATTGACCTACTATCGTTCCCTCATCTTTAACACATTATCTTCCTAAAGATACTCTTGTTTATGTTTTTCAACAGAGAAGATTTACTCTCGATTGAACAAGAACTCTGGAATAATTTCCTTGCCAGGTTGATCTAAGTCAAATAGCCAAGCCCGAATCAGCTGTCGAGCATCGCAGGAGACAAATAGTGTGTGCTAACCGGTAGCAAATGCACCAGTATAATCTCATTGATATCCAATACGAGTTTGCTACCATGAACCATAACATGAATACATAAAAAAAAGGAAAATATCAGGAAACTAATTGCATCACGCTGAAGTTCTGCCTTCTGCCAGCAGGAACTACTCTGCTGTGTAGTTTTATCAAAGGGTCACCGAAGAAAAAAGTGGGTTACCAAGGACAATAGTGTCTGCATCTGCATCTTCGAGCCTATAGTTTATACCTTACATCTAGTTTGTCCCATATCAAACGCTGTATATACAACAGTCCCTCCCAGCACCCGAAAATCGTGAGAACATTCAGCAACTTCTGTTTCGTCGTTCTAGTTTTATTGCTTCATAAGAATCCATAACCTCTTTGAATTTTGCCTCAGCAACCTCTGCCATAGTCAAAAGAGGAAGCTTCTGAGCACATGTATACACAATGAGCATATTAGCCTTACATAAGGGACAGGAGAGACAAGGAAACTGTATTTACCTTTATTACTTTGGTTTTGGTCTGGATGATACTCCATTGCTTTTCTCCTGAAAGCATTCTGTAATGAAATTATAAGCAAGTGAGCAAGATGTACAGATAATTGCCTGAAAACTTTGGCCATCTGACATGAAAGAAAATAACAAAGAATACATACAAGCCTAATTTGCAGTTCACTAATGAACACTGAAATTTAAAGACTTGGGCACAACAGGGGATTATTGAAAACTTGCAGGAGAATGTCTCTTTGTGCAACCATACCTTGCTTACATGACTTATCTACCCTTGGTATAGACTACAGAGTAAATATATGTTTATTCTACCACATCAGAGGACACTTATGGGCAAATGTCAATTTTCATATACAATATATTTAATTAATATAACATCTCCCCTCCCTCCTTTCGCTCATAGTTACCATTTCAGGATTGTAGAGAGTTCCTTAGAAGTTCAGTACAAAATTTCAAGTGCGTAAACTTTAGTTTGCTTTTTATATTTTGAACTGTTCAACATAAAACTTGACTGTAGGTTGTACAGAATTAAACAAAGCACATTGCACTCTTTTCGGTAGAAAAATATTCAGTAGACACAAAATGAACAGGTAGAAGGCACACCTTGATTTCAGCATCTGAAAATGGCTCTGACCTTGACCTGGGGAATGGAGAGGAAAAACTTTGGTTACGGGCAATTATGATGATATCAGTTGCTCAACATCACTACGGGCAGTCGGGCATGTTAGCGTCAATTTCAGGGTAACATAAACGCAAAGTGTGTGAAAGACTAAGCAGCTGTTTCTTCTCTCCACAAAGCAGGGTGATATCTTTTCTTTAATCAGGTGCAATCATAAGGTACAATGGTGACAAAATTTGTGTTATACACATTCAAAGGTAAGTGGTGTAACAATGCTTCTTTGCTAATATTGACTGCCACAGATAGAACAGGTGATTAGGGGACCAAGAATGACAGTGGTTCACAACAAACTAGGCCATCGTCACATACAGCTGGCAAATATATAGGAATGTTCATTGACATGAAAGGCTGTTAGTACATACCTGTCAAGGCCCAAAACAGAATAGTGATGTGACATAGTGTAACTCATAGCTTCCCTGGGCGTTGCCCTGAAATTTGTCCTTTGATTCGCATAAAACGTTTCTGCGTTCCAGTACCAGTCATCTCTTTGATGATGCTGATAATAGTTGGGATTATGGCTTTCCCAAGTTCGATAATCCCGACATTTGCACCTCTCCTTTTTAAATACATCTTGCATGCGCCGTATGCGTTCCTACAGAAATCACTACTGTTGGCTCAGGATTAGTTGAAACGAATCAGCATGCAAACAAAATGAATGAAATGTGACTAACACAGTGACACCAATTTGTGACATGGTTCTTTATATTGTCATATCAAAGTTTTCATCTGCTTAGAGTTCTCAAGGGGAAAAGAAAAGTTGAGGAAATATTACTTGCTACCATGTATGACCTTGGCTGCTTCATACTAACATTTTCCTAAGTCAATAATCCATACAAATTAATGTTTTTCCGGAACTTCATGTTCATCTCTAAGAAGCAACTCAATAATAACAACACACCTAAGGGCTGTAGAGTGAATAAGCTAATGGAATCACTTTCGATGTGCAAATGTTTAAATGCATTTGTAATAAATATCTTGTATGCGAGCAGGGCACTGACCACTCTTTCCCTTTGATCCTCGGTCCTTTCACGCATCCTCTGGTGATACCGTTCCCAGGCTTCACCACGCCGAATTGGTCGACGACGAGGTATGTCTTCCCAGAACACATACGGTTCCGACCTACTAAGCTTCAATGGAGGAAAAAAAGGTTTCACCGATCTGCCCCCAAAACTCACCTTCAAGGCAATGCTGCTCCAGAAAGCAAATGCTAAAATGACACCTTTTTTCGTAAAATTTTTATACCTGAGTGTAGAACCAGCTGACCGTCCGGCGCAGTTGTCCGACCTACAAGTCCGCAAGCAAATGCATCATCGCACTCGCACACGGAAATCCACGAGTAGTAACAGTTGAAAGGGACCACCGTTTCAGAAAATTTGTCAAACCGTAACCACACTAAAGAGAAGCACCGAGTTCACGCCGCCGGGGCGAGGGATCGAGGGAAGGGAGAAGCGATGCCTCAGGGCGGCCGGGCCGCGGGACCGATGAAAGGGAGAAGCGGGGCACGGAGAGCAGAGCAGCAGGCTTACGGCGGCGGTGGTGGCTGTGGCGCCGACGAGGGCGAAGAGGATGATGGCGGAGGGGAAGGCGCCCGAGTCCTCCTCCACCGCGGCCGTCCCGGATGGCCACAGGCTCGGCTGGCGCTCGCCTTCGCGGCGGCCGGCCATGGCTCGCGGAGCAGGTGGCTGGCTGTCCGAATTGGGGATCTGGAGTCGCGTGACGCCGGCGAGGGGACCCGCGTGCCGGATCGGAGAGACGAGAGAGTGAAGGGGCTGAGGCTGCAAGTGGGCCCTTGTCTTTTCCTGGAGTTGGGTGGGCTAGTAGAAGGAACGGACCGATGGGCTGACGCTTGTGCATGGGCCCAACTTTGATTGCTGTTACCAGGCCGCGCCGGCCTTCGTTGCGGAAAAACGAGGAGGGGTCAAGCCCAGTGCCGTTGGTGGAGCTAGGATATCCCAACAGAAAAAATCCATTTTACCTCCCTGCACCATCCTCGAAGTCTAGTTTTTCTCTCTAAACTCCAAAACCAGGTACCACCTCCCTCAACTTTTAAAATAGTTCATTTTACCTCCCTGATCCGGCTATAGCTGGTTTTCAAAGACGGTTTTGTCTTTTTTCTTTTTATTTATTTAGGCTGAATTTTTGAAAAATCATAGTAAATCATAGAAACATCATAAAATGAAAAGTAAAATTTTCTTCGACTCCGCATAAGTAGATCTACACAGTAAATATATAATATAGTATGCTTTAGTACAAAGTTTTTGATGTAGCTTTAGATCTATATTTTTCTGTAATTAATTCAAAGCTACCATTTCTATGGTCCAACTGTGGTGAAATTTTTATGGTAGGCTAATTATTATATGATTGAACTATAGTAAAGATTCCATGCACATTGTATCACGTATAACTGAGTTATAGATTTATTTATTTTTATACTTGTTTAATAGTTTTAAAATAGTTAAAAGTGTGTAAAATAGAAATGAGTATGAAATTTTTACTATAATTTAATCATACAACAATTAGACCACCATAAAAATTTTACCACAATTGGAGTATAGAACTGCAGCTATGAATTAATTACAGAAACACATAGATCTAAAGCTACAACAAAAACTTTATATTAAATCATATCATATTATATGTTTACTGTGTAGATTTACTCATGTGGAGTCCAACAAAATTATATTATCTATTTTATAATTTTTCTATGATTTACTATGATTTTTTAAATATTGAGCCAAAATAAATAAAAAAGAAAAAGACAAAACCGCCTTTGAAAACCACTCGTAACTGGGCCAGGGAGGTAAAATGAACGGTTTTAAAAGTTGAGGGATGTGATTTACCCGGTTTTCGTGTTTAGCGAGGAAAATTAAACTTTGAGGATAGTTCAGGAGGTAAAATGGACTTTTTCCTATCCCAATAGCTAACTCGAGGCTCGGTCCACCATGGTTAGTAAGCAATGAGAGCAGGCGTAACATTTACATGGTCTTGATCTTCTAAAAAAAATACATGGTCTTGAAGAAAGGATTATCTTTTTTAATTAAAATATAAAAGAAAAGATGAGCTCTTGAGTGTTGTCTAAGTGTTTTACACCCCTTTTAAAATATATGTTGTCTTAGTTTTCTATTAAGTCAAAGTTTTATTACCTTGATCATGTTTATAGTATGCCCATTTGTTGTCGCGAATGTTGATACAACTTTTTACGTACTTGGTTGTGAGACCCAGCCCAAATGGGCCAGTTGGGCCAGGGCAGATGCGAGTTCGGCGCCGCGCCCGGCGTGACGGTGGCCGTGGCCGCCGCCATGCATGGTCAACGCCAGAGCTAAACACACGACCCTAGTAGACGAGTACTCCATTATATTGCTAGAGACAATTGGACAAAAATGAAGCTTTTGTGTGAGATGGATGCATGATTAGTGGCGAGTGTGGCCAGGTATTTTTATAGTGGTAGTAGCCATGGATTGGAGGCCAGCTTGGCGACTTGTCATGAGTAAAATTTGGTCAAGCATTAAAAACTACGGACATCAATAACTATATTATTAAATTATTTAGTTTGAAGACATATCATATACATATCTATAGTATTAAAAAATATTTGCAAGATCCAATAAATTATTAAGAATATATTCTACAAGATATTAGTGATCAAATATATGCGTTAAAGACCATGTAGGGTTAAATGTCACAAAAGTATTTTTTTAACCGGAAAGAGTATATCTCAAACTTGTTATATTTTAAGCTATAACTACTAATTCATCCAACTCATAAAGAATATTATTTAGTTTGGTCAAACATTAAAACTTCTTCTACTTTAAGCTAAACTTATCATAAGTAAAATTCGGTTATCAAACATTAAAAATTATAGACATCAATGACTATATTATTAAATTATTTAGTTTAAAAACATGTAATATATAGTATTAAAAAATATTTGCAAGATCTAATAAATTATTAAGAATATATTTTACAAGATATTAGTGATCAATGATGTACATTAAAGACCATTTAGAGTTAAATGCGACAATATTATTTTTAACCCGAAAGGATAAATCTCAAAACTATAGTTTTAAGCTATAACTCGCAGCAGGACTTCGTGAACCCTCACAACGCGGCGCGCGCGGCCCGACCGTACGCCTTCCTGCAAGCATGCATGCAGGTGCATAGTGTGTACGTGCTTTTTATATACTTATTAGCGTATGCGTACCGGAGAGAATAATAGACTGTAACATGCATACTATAATAATAAATAAATAATGAGAATAATCGTTTTAATTTGGTGGTTATTTTTCTATGGTTCCTAAAGAGGGAGTTATTTTAACCAGAGATAATCTAGCAAGAAGAAATTGGAATGGAAATAATCTTTGTGTGTTTTGTTGTACGAATGAAATAAGTCAACACCTTCTCTTCGATTGTATTTACACTTTTTTTTTGTGGGTTGTGTGTTGTGTGTGTGGGGGGGCACCGAGAGATGTTCACTAGCTCTGTCATATGTTTGGTACAAACAGATGGCAGATGGGAAGGTCAAATGAATCATTGTTGTCCATAGAAGATGCATCCATTTGTTGAATAATATGGTTGGCAAGGAATGAAGTTGTTTTTATATGTGCCGATTCAAAACCTTTTTGCAAGTATTATTTAGAGGGACAAACTGATTAATTACGTTATTGGGCACACTTTGCAACAATTGTGGCCAAATGATGCTCAAATTGAATTTTGAGTTTTATTTTTTTATACACCCTACTGTAATAAATGGTGTGATTCTCTTGGCACAAGGATAAAGCTAAATTTGTCTCCTTTATCTAAATAAAAATAGTTTTTGGTCGTGAGCATGATAGTGCTCTAGAATGCGGACGGTCATCGTCGTCCAGGGGTTATGATCTGGCAGGGAAGCACGCTTGTGTGTCTCACGTCTAACACATGTCTTTTCTTAACCATAATCTCATACAACATTCTCAATTTCTTCACATGTTGTTATATGGGTTATTTGCCATTAAAAAATCTCCAACAGTTTGGTAAAGCCACTCTTAATCTTGGTATTTTGGCAGTATAAACAAAAAGCTTCCTCCAATAACTCCCTGTTCTAACTCTTAATCTATCTAGACTTGGAAAAAATGGAGGCATCCACACATATAGATATGCAGACGACTGCTGCTTCCTGTCATGGGACACCATTTTTTCTTCTTCTTTGACACTCCGCCCGCTGCCACAACAGCCGGTAGAGGTTAGCCAGAATTGAAGCTGCATACACTATTTTTGGAGAACACTGGGTAGTGCAAGCAATGGAGATTTTGTTTTGTAGGTTTTAGTTTTATAATTTAGGGTACAAGGATGGCCGGGAACGGTTGGCCATAGATACGGTGGCGACCATCGTCGCCACTGCCTAGATGGTTCACAGGAATAGGATCTCCGTTATTTTTAACAATACTAGGAGGTAGAACAGGAAACAAAGTTTTTGTTTTTTTGGAAGTTCAGTTGTGAGATAGGCGCCGGGAATAGCCAACTATGGGGTGGCTGATGGCAGTATGGCATGGGCGGCGACAAAAAAAATGTTCAAGTGGACCTATTTTTTTATTCCCTACGAGCAAACTATTGAAAATTGATAGTGATGGGGTTGTTTTTTTCTTTCCAATATTTATGGAAAATGTTACAAATCTTGATTTTTTTAGTTTACCCATTTTGGGTCCGCATGTAAGTTTCCTAAGTCCGTTCGACTCAAATTTTAGGATTCAAATTTTAGTGTGGTAATTAAAACAGTATTTCAGAGTTGAGAGAGGCCAATTGTCTAGTTTTGGAGTTTGAGGTGGAAACCTAGACTCCAACGATAGCACTTGGACTAAAAGTGTTTTTTTTCTTTTATAGTGGAAAGCATATGTTTTTTTCTTGTGCTGTGGCATAAAGATGTGATGTTGATAATATGGATCTATGACAATCCAATGGATCTTTGCTCGAGCCCCAGCTTGTGGTCACTGTCCTCTAGTAATCAAGGCCAAACAATTGTCTATGTGAACAGAAGTTTATGCATCTCTCCCACGGCAAGCCGGCCAATGCCACACATGCATGGTACTGCCTGGCAGACATTTTGACTTAACGGTTTCGTCGAGAACAAAATTATATGTGACACTGTCGCACAGCACTCCGCATGCGGCACCTGGTGATTGCTCAACGCGTGTCTTTAGGGCCCACAAAAGAAGGCGACCACCCGTGCTGTGCGGTTGAGCGAGTCCGTGATTCCTGTGAAACTGCGAGATCCAAACCAACAGATGGAGAAAACAGGACTCATGTTACATGATCATAGGGTGTCGCATGCAGGATGCTGTGCGGTGGTGTTGCAAAGATTTTTTTTTTCCCGTTTTGTCGTCTGGGGTTAGTGGTGCATGCAGGGTGGTGGTCGGCGGGGCAGTGGTACTTTTGAGCTTTTATAGTGCTAGATTAGTGGTGTATAGTTGGCAAGTCCAAGATGATGTTGTGCGGGCATGTGTTGAGGTCCCATTTCAACCTGCTGCTGTTGATAATGGCTTCATTTGTTGCTTTGTTGTTTTTGTTGTACCGTCGAGTTTAGGTTTATTTTTATTAATATAATTGATAGCTCTTGTGCTTGATTCATTTAAAAAAACAGGAGTTTATGTGGTACTAGCTAGATGCTGCTGCCTATATTAATGTCCAAAAT